CTCAGTTTAATTAATCTTGGATAGATGGATATTTACTCACAGATTAGGAAAATCTTCATCCTTAGGGCAGGGATATAGGAAGGGAAAGAAAAGTAAATGAACTGAGTCTCTACTATGTGCAGTATCTAAACTAAGAGCTTTTGTGAGGTAGTTAGCAAGGGATTCCAGGTTTCCTAAGGACAAAAGTGGGCATCTTGCCATGGTGCAACTGCCCCACCTGGGAAGGAGGGCAAGGGTGGACCCCAGGCCCCCTTTTTGGTCCTGCCCCACCTTTGATTCTGCCCTGAGCTACTACCATACCTGGGGGAGGAGGGAATACCCTATGAATCTGCCAATCAACTTAGTGCTCCAGCTGCAAAAGAATGCAGAGGACCCTCTAGCCCACAGGTCAAGCAATACAGGTACCGTAGAGTTTGGAAATTGAACTAGAACAACTCACATGCATAGTAATGCAACTCTCAACTGTCTAAAGTGATTCCATGGTGATGTGTAAGCCACTAGGGAGGTCCCAATCCAGGCACTATAAAACAAGACGCAGGCCATAACCAAGTCCCTTTTTTGCGCCCTTTCTTTTGCTCTCCCTTTGCTGCAAGAATGGGTCAGGTCATCATCTGTGGCGTATGTATCATGCTCTGTACACCTATATCTTGCTCTTGCCCTATAATACTGCCTTTCTCTCCTTAATAAATCTCATTTTTGTGTTTGCCTTACTTTGGTGTGTCTGGTCATTCTTCAGCCATGAGCACACCAAGAACCAACATTTCAGACTAAAACCTGACACTTTCACATGTTATCTCATTTAATCCCCTTGCCCACACTATGAACTGAAGAGAAAGCGTCTCAGAGAGGTTAAGTAACTTGCCCAAGGTCATACAGCTGGTTAAGTAAGAGAATAGGTATTCGAACCCAGTGCGTATTTTCTTTCTACCCTTTGCCTCCCTAATTGAATTTCAGAGAAGTCCTATATATTGAACACCTTGAACTCAACTCTTAGGGAATTTAAACTGATCAATTCCTTAAATGGAATAAGATCTATTTAGCTAAGATTCACTCTGCTCTTTAAAATTCATATAACTATACCCCTTAACAAAGGCCACACCACAAACCTCAGGGCAAAATCAGACCCTTCCAATCCAAATTTAAAAAGATCCACACTTTGAGTGCACAGGCTGCCAGGCTACCAATCTTACAAGTGAGGCAGCCTTTAGATTTGGGATGAGCTGCCAACAGCTTCTGGTGAAGAAAGTAAAGAACATCATACCGAGTTCATTCCCTCTTTACCAGAAATGGAATGAAGATAATTATTGTTCTTGTTCTTTGACCTGGGTAATAATGCCCATTTATGAGAAATGGTATCTATAGAGTACATTTTTTTAGCAAGGATTTTTTGTGGCTTGCTTTTTAATCTTAAACAACTGTAAAATGTGGGCATGAGGCCAGATGATTCCTATGATCTCTTCCAACCTTAATTTTCCCATTATATTTCTAAGTCAACAGATAAAAAATAGGCAGCCTCAACTACAAAGTCTTAGACAGAAACTTTGGAAACTATCCAAATTTCTCTGTCAATCTAGCACTAGCTACCAACTGGCACCACTATGCCTTAGCATTTACAAACAATGGATTACTGCTACAATGCCCCGTAAGAGCCAGGAACACAATAAACAGACTGCTGAGAAGAGCTCAGGCCCTAACTGTACTATCTGTGGAAAGCCAAACCTCTGACAGAGAAATCTTTTCACTTACAACCTAAGGAAAAATAAAAGAGGGAACAAATGATTGATTCAGTAAGATCAACTAAAAACCACTTAAGGCAAATGCAAAATTGTCATGAAAAACATGCTCCCACCAGGTGGTGCTAAAAGGAAACATTCAAAATGATTGGGAAACTGAAAATTGGGACTTTAAATTTTTATTCATATCAGAAACTAGTATATATTAAGAAAATATACTTTTATAGGCATGAAAGAACAAAGCATTTGAATGTTCAGTTATTCAAGTAGACTGGTTTCATGGTTCACTTTATTGAAAGCCTAAGAACATTTTAGTTTTTAAGGAGCAATTTCATGAAGAATATTCACTTCTGGGACCCAGCCTATATAACTCAAAGACGGAGATGTAAAGCAGCTTTTTTATTCCTGCTGCTATGCCACTGCTGCTAGAAATGCCTTCCCCACTTCTCAGTTTAAGCCCACCCCCCCCAAGGCCCACCTCAAGTTTCCCACCTCCATGGAGCCTTCCCCAGCTTCTCTGAACTGCTGAAGCATTCACTTTATAATTGACTGTTTATGATCATTTTAACTGATAGAAAGCCAGCCTTTGTGACAGAAATTAACGTTACTATTTTTTCAGTGAGTAGAGAATCTTTACGTCAAGTTCTTATATGAAAGTTTCTACATCTATATATAAATTTTATTTGGGATCCCCAAGCAAAATATAGATAAACAGCCTCTTTACATTTACTATTTGAAATAATGCCACGCAAAGCAAGGACTGCCTGGACAGGCCTGGATTGTAAGGCATTAATACCTTAATACAGCCCAGGGATCTGAGCAGATCAAACAGATGTCCATGGATATATATCTTTGTATCAAATCAACATCAATCAACAATCTTGATTTAAGGCCTTTGAACTTCCAAATCAACTTTTAAAATGTAAGCCTTCTGCTCCAGGTGTGAACAAGATTGATTTAAGCTTCCTAATGTATGAAACAAGTACTTGGTAGGCAAAACATAAGCTGATGAAACAAGATTAGCAGTTAAAAATCAACAGTAGGAATCTGAAAGGAAGAAGAGCAAGTCCATCAATTTGGATGGAGGAGCAGGGAATTACACCTTTATTTTCACTAACTTCTACTAGAAATTTACTATTTCTCAATTATGAATATAGGCAACAAATACAGTATTAGTAGTATTAGCATTATCTGTGCCTTGACTCTATCTGAAATTACAGGTACCTTTATACCCTATTACAGTTGTAGATATCTCAAAGTATCATTTACATTTATTACTATTTCTAAGTTAAGGTAGTTATTAGATTCATCACTGTATCACATGTAATCACAGTTTATCTAGATGCTAGTGTAATGAGACTGGATAAAAATTGGGCAACTCTCACCCTAGTAATCATTCAGTCACAAAATAGGGACATCTCATGTTGGTGGCCAGATGTCTATGCTGCTTCTCAGTATTCCCCATCCATAATTGTTAAGCAAAGACCATCCCACAGTGTAAAGATCATATAGAAACTAAACAAAGTCTTCACGCTGTTGTCTTTAGAAAATAAAATTTAACTTTCCTAGATTTTAAATGATCTCATTATTTAACATATTAATTAAAAAGCACATATCACTATATCACAATTTTTAATATTTTGATACTGCATTTCAATGTAATTAGAACTCTTTGTAATAATATGTATTTTATTGTAAGCACTTAAAAATAGTACTCTGATAAGGAATCCATGGTATAAAAATCTTTAAGAACTCTGATCTAAGGTGATGTACAAAGCCTTCATTTATTCATTCATTTAGTTAGTAATTCAGTCAGTAAGTATTTATTGAGTACCTACTACAATATTAGAGCAAACCACCGACAACTGTCAATATTTGACTGTTTTTGACCTACCAAGATGACAATTTCATATAGTGCAATCTAATACTTATCAGTCCCAACTTCTAAGCCCACAAATAAGAGAGATAATAATGGAGTAAAAAAACAATCTTGAAAATAGAAAGACTGATGTTTATAGGAGAAGTTAAAAATTGTGTGAAATAAGTAAGAGGCTGCACACTGAAAGCAAAATGTCACAAGAAGGCAAAGTAACCGAAGGGAATTATCCGTTTAATTATCCTGAATGAGAATGACCCAAATATATTGTCAAATCTCTATTATTTTCCATGACCTAACAATGATGAGAAGCCTTTCCTCAGGTTTATTAATGCTTAATTTTTTTCAAATTACATTAATATAATCTTCTACCTTATAACAAGTCCTCCATAAATTCAATATCAAAACCAGTAAGAATAATGCTTTATAGTTGTATAGCACTTTATAACTTACAAAGTAACTTCGCACACTATTCTATTTGATACCAACCACACCCCTACAAAATAGCCTGGGAGATATTATCTCTATTTTTCAGGTTACACAGCACACACGCATATCCAAAAGGACTCACAGAGAATCTTAAAATGAATTTTAACTTTAAGCCAGACTCCCTTTTTACTGTGTTATGTAGTAAGTAGAGGAGATAAAAGGGCAAGGTGCTTCAAAATCCAAGAAAGCTAAGTCTGAATCTCAATCCATCACCTACTCTCTATGGGTCCCTGAGGAAGTTTCTTGGTATTTGTAACACTGAGTTTAATAAAGTGAAAATAATAACATTTTAAGATTAAATAAGATACAGTAGTTTAGTCTTCAGATTAAATAAGATACAGGTAAGACAAAGCCTTTATCATCATCTATAGCAACTGTAATCATGAAACTTGACTCTTACCTAAAAGAACTCAGGAAAGTAATGTGGTTCAGTGGACACAGCATATGCTACAGAATTCTAATATCCTGCCCCAGAATTACTATGGTAAGTCACCTGACCCCTCTACATTTCTACCATTCTACCATTATAAAGGCTTTTGAGAAAAATCTGGAAAATATAACCAACATCACAGAGATTGAAGACCCACTTTTCCTCAATCTCGAAAAATTTCAAAATCTCCTATGTTGGCAGCTCTGAGCAAGGGCTCACCAAGAACTACTACCTGCATCTTACAACATCTAGAACTCATGTTCATGCATGAGCCCAGAAACAGAGCCTTATCTCATTTCTGATAGGTGATGGGGACTGCACAATAAAATCTTGAGTTAGATTATAAATAGAAGCCAAAACTAGAGTCAGACATTACCAAAGGAAGGACATAGGATAAAAAAGCATATGAGTAAAAGAGAACTATTTTTCACCCTAAAAGCAAAGGGTAAAAAGGAAGCTTGCTATTACTTACTCTTGGCTTACCACCTCCTCATCCTCTGAGGATGATGCTGTTTCTTCCAGGTCCCGGGCCATCACGACTGGCATTTCCTTTAGGGTTTGTCATGCAGTCAGCACACAGGGGCCTCAGAGACCTTTCCTTGCAGATTCACTGGATCAAACAATTTGGATGGCACAGATTCCTGCAAGAAAGTCAACTGATCTGAAACATAATGCAGTTGTCTATTTACTGATTATTGCTGATGGTCTTCCAAATCATAACAATGAAAATATTCTTAAAGAGTGCCCAACCTCTAGAAGCTTACCTTCTATTACAGTGCCTAAAATATGCCACAAAAATCAAGATGTTTTTCAAACACACTGTCTGTGCTTTATGTATTTGAAGAGCTGTTATTAAGTCTGAGTTCCTCAGTTGTCTTTTATATACTAAATATAACATGCACCAAAAGGATAGACTCACTTCACTTTTAGGGCAGTCTGAGGTAGGTGGCTGATTCCTAAAACATAGATTCCTTGCTATACAAACCTGACCTGGGTTAAAAATAAATAAAAACTCACGGTTTAAGACCCGTGCAAATATTTATTAGATTCTATGACAAGCACACAGGCAAGATGCCATCATGTTTCCAGTAAAAGAAATTCAACAATGAACCAAAAGATTAACATATTCTCTTGAATATAGGGTCATATAAATAGCTGGGGGGAAAAAAACCGCTGCCCTTCCAAACACTCTTAGAAATTTTTCTCCCTTACTAAAAACTTTGATCTTAATCTTGAATAGGCATTAAAATTGGGATATTTCCAACACTGCATTTCTAACTTAAAATATTTTTTCCATAGGAAAAGAGTACGTGTTTGTTCAGTGTGTTAGAGAAACAGAAACTGCAGATACAGAAAATGATCATGTTCAAATGACCACAATCCCATTACTCAGAGATAACCACCTGGTGTCAATCTTTCCAAACTCTACTTTTCTATGCATTTACATATACGATAAGGTTATAAATGACACAAAAGAACACGGACCCAGATAATGATCCCTACAGATCTTGAGCGGAACGGGCAATATCTACCTCAATGACGTTATTCCAGGGATTCCCAACGGGATTTCTCGACCTTTCCCAAAACCCTGACAAGTCCTTTAAGTTAAGACAAACAAAACCTCCAAGCGAGGAAAGGACGCCAACCTTTCCTGGACTGCCTGCAGAGCAGGAAGAAACAGGAAGGTCGAAGAAGATTAAGGACACTCGCCGAATGAAAGTCCTGGCCCTAAAGGGATGTGCCCCTCAGCCCCCCTCTCCCAGCTCACCCCAATCCCAGGTAGGTACGCAGGTGCTCCCCCACGGAAGGACAGGGCGACTCCGCCGCAGCGATTCAACCCGGCGCGCCCGGAAGCCAACAGCTGCTCCCGGGCTCTGAGAGGGAAGTGCAGCGGACGGCGCCCGCCCGGACCCGGGAACGCACCTCCCTGGGGTAGGGAAGCGCGCCGGCGCAGAAGTTTACCTGTCTCATCTTCACATGGCTCGGGGCAGGCCGGCGGGGACCGCGCTCTGCGCCTACCTCCTTCCTCCTTCCCCAGACCGGCTCACCGCGGCGGCCGACGGCTGCTTCCCTCGTTACTACAACAACCAACAAGCAACCGCCCGCTCGGAGCCACTGCGCAGGCGCCCGCCACCGGGCGCTGAAAACGCTTGGCTGAGGGCGCGGAAGAATGTCGTCACCGCCCGGCAGCGCGGGAGCGAAGCCCTGCTCTTGGCAGAAGGGAGTCTTCTTTTTTCCGCTCTTTTTTTCCTCCGCCCCTAAAAGGTTGACTCAGACCCTGAGTTCCGCCACGCTCAACAGGAGAGTTTACTGCGTGAGCGGCGTACCCCTGGAAAGGCTTAGGTAGCGGCAACTGCTGATTGGCAGTAAAGGGGTTCACTCCCCATCTCCTGCTCCAGCAAAACGGACGCAGCCAATCAGAGCGAGGACTGACGGAGACGACCCAATCCTGGAGCCGGGCTGAAGGCGGGGGCGGGGATAAATGGCTCGGGTGGACTCCCGACCGGAGCTGTCCTGGGGGAGCTTCTTTGCTGCTACTGCTCCTGCGGTGCTGGAAGTCCGGTCGTCAGGTAAGGAGAATATGGAGGACAAGAGGTGGGTAGGTGTCTGTGTGGCATCTGGTTGAGAGAATCCGGAGAGTCTGGAAAAAGGGGGGTGGGATTGAAGGAGGATACCTGGGGGGCAACCTTTTGGGGGGAAAAGGGTTCGAGAGATGAGGACAAGGGGGCGCTAGGAAGATGGAGAAGGCTTGGTAAATTCAGGGAGCGAAGGAATGAACAAATGAGCAGCCACTGTGAGCCCAGCCCTATGCAATGAGCCTTCACTTTTTCTCATATAATTCTTGTAGAAACCCTTGAGGTAGATACCTATTATCTCCATTTTGCAGATGAGGAAACGAGGCCGAAAAGTGTAAATGACTTGAACAGGGTCACACAGCTACTAAATGGTAAGGCCAGGATAGGAATCCCTCTATTGGTGACTCTAAGTTTTAACACCACACCTGTGCTGGGCTGAGCCAGGGCAAAATTTGAAATAGATGTTGTATACATTCTGGGAGGCCCTAAAGCTTTAGGGAAATGGGGTTGAGGAATTGCCAGAGCAATTTGGAAGTGCTCAGGCTTTGCCATCAGCTACCTGTTGGAATTTCTAAGAGCTTCTGTGAAATGGAAGGCATAAGTTCTGCTGAAAAGGGTGAGGGGGCATGCATGCAGCTTTTCTAACCCTGAAAAGAGACCTGAGCGTCCTACTGGAGAGGGTGACAACATAAGAGGATAGGTGGATCTTGGCCCAGGCTATACCTGCTGTGATGTCCGGTAGGCCCCTAGTCTTTCCGGACTTGGACAGAGTCCACCTTTTTGATCCACCTGTCCCTGAGGAACTTATCAATTCACCCTTCCTCCTCTAGAGCTCTTCTGTGTTCATTTTTTGGGTGCTTTGAACTGTCGTAAGCTATTGCTGACTTTAATAGATATCTCAGCTGGGTAGTGTAGGACAATACTTAAACTTCTATTGCCAAAGTGACAAAGGAAGCCTGATAGTTTATTACCACTTTATAGCCAAGAAGTTAACCTGACAACAGATAAAACATGGGCTAATAATAATAAAGATGGGAAGAAGTTCTTCCATTGTTAGATTCTTTATATTTGTTTTATTTAAATCAAGCTCATTGAAATCACCACTCAACAAGGGTTGATCTAAGCCTTTTTTAAAAAAACACAAAGTATGTAATCTGATTGTATTTTCTATGTGATTTGAAGACAAAGTGGGTATGGTACACTTTTCTTTCTCAAAAATGGGAACTTCATCAAAATCTTCTCAGTGAGGTGGTATTGCAGCTCTGCCATGTATCAGCTGTGTGATCTCAAGAAACTCATTTAACCTCTCTGTTCCAACTCTCACCTGTAAAATGGAAATATCAATAGTGTCTAACTACCTTATTATAAGAATTAAATAGATAATGTCTGTTAGGTTCTTGGCACAGTGCTCAGCACAAGTGGCCAATAACTGATAGCTATTATAATTTCTTTTGCAACCCAACACTAAGATTACTGTTTCCATCTTTATATAATTTTCTACTAGTTGTAAAGTCACAGTAGTTTATTTATTTTTAACTTTAGATTGTTCTTCTAGTTTATGAAGCATGGTATATAACTGAGAACCAGAGTACAGAAAACCTAAGGATGTAAACAGAGCCCTCACCCCATGAGTTCCACTCAAATGTATAAGGCTTCTATAGGCTTGGAAGGATCTGTCATGAATACCCAGGCAGGCATCTGTGAGTAGATTTATAATCACCTTTGAGCCACTTGAATTACAAAGCAATGGCATGAAAAAGTAAAGATATAAGAGGACTGATTCCAACTAACAGAAAAGAGTTCTGATTTAGGGTAATATTTTGGAGAAATTGCTTAGACAAAGGTAAGTACTGTGCCACTTATTGCAAAGTATACTGTTTATTCACTACTATTTGTGTGACTAAATATTGAAACCAATTTCTATAAGCTTTACACAGAAATCCATTGAATTAGTTTATAGTAATATTTGTATGCCTCCTTTTCTTCTGCTCCCTTTTTTCTTCCCATTTTTTCTGGCTAGGTTTGTTATTTTCACCCACTATGTTATCTAGCTATTGTCATTCTGGGTAAAGATCAGCACACGTGACGTAGGGTAGATATCCAAAGGTAGCATGCTAACCCTGTGAAGTAAGAGTACTGTGTTAAGAAACTGGGGTAGATGAGCCCAGAGGACTTGGGCAGGAATTTATGAAGTGATTGGCCAGCTAAGCGCTCCTGAGTGGGACACAGGTTAACCACAGAGGTGAGAGAGCTTATGGTTGAAGCAGGCTGACCTTCATTGTCTCATGTCCTCTGCCTTTGTTTCTAAGGCAAAAAGCCCTCTCAGATTTAAGGGGAGTCATGAGCCGTTTCCTGAATGTGTTAAGAAGCTGGCTGGTTATGGTGTCCATCATAGCGATGGGGAACACACTACAGAGCTTCCGAGACCACACCTTTCTCTATGAAAAGCTCTACACTGGCAAGCCAAACCTCGGTAAGAAATCAAAGAATTTCTACATCCTTTGTACGACTAGCCTACATTGTGCTTCCCAAACCAGGCTGTCCATCAGAATAACGTTAAAAACAAAGCACGGGTACCCATTTCCTTCACCAAACCTATTTATTGAACCAAGTGGGGGCCCAGGACTCCAGTTTCTAAGTACTTCCCAGGTGATTCTGGTGCTGCCTTATCTGGCCTTTGGCAACCACTGGAGTCGTACTTTGTGGTGGGCACTTGACCCTTTTTCCCCCCATGCTTCTCTGAATACTTCTTCATTCATTTTACACTGCCCCGGGCAATTAGTGTGCACAAAAAGTGTGATATGGGCAAGTGAGGACATAGAGTTTCCTGGTGGCTCTGTGATGCCCCACTAGAAATCCATAAACAAGTTTTTCATATTATCTCAAAGCCCTTTTCAGAAATCGTGTGGAGGCACACACGGTTTATATTCCGTGTTACAGATGGAGAGTTACGAATCCAAGGTCTTCATGTGACATAGTCCTTCCAAGTTGGTCTCCCAAAATGAAACTTCACAAGGCCCATAGTGGCCTTTCCTGGCTTCCTGAGCCTCTCTGTTGAGATGTTTGCACATTTCAGCTTGCACTTCATCACACTGATGTGTGGGGTAGTTAGCGCTGCAGCATCGTTTCACAGCAGCTGATAATTCTGTGTCACATTTATAGCTAACCCAGATTCAGGCTCTGACCTAGCTCATTTTTCTGCAACGCCTGGGCATAAAAGGAAATTAAATAGGCTAAGTCTTATTTTGAGCAAAGCTTAAATATATTTGGATTAAAGAACCTGGAAAAGTGAGCAGGACAATTCCATTTTTTTCAACCTCAGGTGATCGTGGAACCCTGTAAAGATTCACAGGTTTTTAGAGGTTATCTCGTCTAACCTTTTGAATTTAAAGTTGAGACAGAGAAGCCCCAGGGTCATGTGACTTGCTAAAGGGCATCTAGCTGAGCAGAACTTTCATGTGTATGTTTGGCCAGCCCAGAAGTGGAGGCTACCTCCTCTTGTAATCTGGGGGCTGTCATGATACTCTTCTGATTGTTGCAGTGCTCTGGAGTGGCCCATTGAATTTCATTGGTGCCTAATCTGGTTAGGTCTGGTGAAGTACTCCACTTTAGTAATCTCACTGACTACCGGTTAATAAAGAATGTAGCCCTCTGGGGCTAATGCTAGATATTTGGTTGGCATATGGAATTTTTTCTCACTACCATCTAAAGATCTTCAGTGTTGTGAATTTGATAGAGTTGTCAGGCTTTCCAAAGGTTGGAAAAATCCTTAAAGCCCAAGGAAACATTAGTAGACCTTTCAGTTGTTAGTTTTGTCCTTTAAAGTTCCTCTTACTCAGCAATACAGCAGCAAAGGAAGTATCTTTGCTTTCACTCTTTTGGCATTCCCAAGCCACTGGATGCCTTAGATCAATTGCTGTGCATTTAAATCACCCAAGCAGGGAATTTCTAGAAAGTACTTATACCAACAACCCACCACCATAGAGGATCATGAAATTGGTCTGGTAACCAGGCCTTGAAATTTTATAAAACTCCCTCAGTTGATTGTAATAAATGCCCAGAGTTAAGAACCACTGTTAATGGTGGAATATGACCCATACTTTCTGGACAAAATATTTAATACAGCAGTGTCTGAATGAAGCCACCAAGAGCAAGGTGCCCCCAGCAAACACCAAAGAAACTGTGTTGTTCTACTACCATATGCACAGGAAACCAGCCTGGTGTTGGCTTCATTCAACAATGTAAATCTGAATTCAAGAAGAGATGCAGGAACTTAAATTTCTTGAAGACCATATGTGGGCATTTAGATTGGTCCCCAGTTGTCTGAGTTCTCTCTTGGATCAGCCTTGAAAGTCTGTGGGCCTCCTAGGCCTCTTGTATTGATAGACCATTCTCTGCAACATTTTCCCAAACCTGTCTGATCCAGGCCCAGTGAGCTGTCAGGAGCAGAGGGTATCTACTACTCTACTACATCCAGGAGTTATTTGGCTAAGTGGGC